TTCACATAGGAAAGTGGGAAGTAACCAGCTTTCATGCTTAAAAGACTTGAAGCAGAGTGGAGTTGGGGTGGCAGGGGGTATTAGGTTTTTGAAACACCAATCAGGCGGGTCTCCATTGGTTGGTTTTACTAGTCGCGATGCTTATAATTCGTTGGCTTTTGATGCAGTTAAGAGTTTGGATGGAACTGATTCAAATTCGTTGATTGAAATATTTAGGAGGAGGCAGTCTAATGAGTCTGAGTTTTTTTTTTTATTTTGAAGTTGATTCTGACTCAAGACTGTGTAATTTTTTTTGGAGGGATGGGCAAATGAGACGGGATTATGAATTATTTGGAGATTTGTTAGTGCATGATACAACATATCGCACTAACAAATATGATATGATATGTGGGTCGTTTATAGGGATGAATCATCATTGTATAAATGTAATGTTTGGTTGTGGGTTTTTGAAGAATGAGAGGATCGAATCCTTTGTGTGGTTGTTTAAAGCCTTTTTAAGATCTATGGATGGCAAGTGTCCACAATCGATTATGACGGATCAATGTGCAGCCATGGCTGCTGCCATTTCCATAGTTTTTCCAACATCACGCCATCGTCTTTGCATATGGCATATTGGTGAGAATTCGAAGAAGCATATCAAGACGTTAAGGAACAATAAGGAGTTTATGGATATCTTCAACTGCTTGCTGAAATACACAGACACAGAAGCTGAATTTGAATTCTATTGGACTAGGTATGTTTCTGTTTATGAGTTTTTGTTTATGAATATACAGTTTATACCTTATGAAGTTACAGTATAGCAGCTATGAATATACAGTTTAGCTAGTATATTTGCAAATCGGAATATATGCCATGGGTATGAAATATATGCATGCAGATTTATTTGAATTATGAATGTAGAGAATAGTAGTTATGAATATACAGTATAGATGTTATGAACAAACACTATATTAACTATGGATATAAAACGTTTGCAAGTAGGAATTTCCATTATATGAATTATGAATATACAGTACAGGAGTTATGAATATACAGTTTAGCTATTATGAACCTACAATATACCAATTATGAACATACATAATTTGCAGGATGGTGACTGATTTTAAGTGTCACAAGAATACATGGCTAGGGTAGCTTTATGACTGTAGGGAGAAGTGGTGTCCAGCTTTCAGTAAGGATTATTTTTCTGGGGGTATTCTATCTTCACAAAGGAGTGAAACAACTAACCATTTCAATTTCTAGAAGGTTGTCTAAGACTGCTGGTTTGTGTGATTTCTACTCATCGTTTGTCAGTGTTATTTCTGAGTGGAGAAGTAAAGAAAATGGCAAAGACTTTCGATGTGCTCAAGGTGTACCTGCCATGTTGATTGACAATGTGAAACTTCTTTCACATGCCCGAGAGGTGTATACAATTGAAATCTATTTTTTGTTTGAGGAACAGTTAATGAAAGGTAGTGCGTGTCACCAAGAGGTTGTGTTTAATGATGGGTGTCAATATAAGTATCATGTGTGGCGACCGGATGTAGATATTATTAGGCATGAAGTTAGCTTTAAGCCAATTAATATTGATATTTCTTGCAGTTGCAAATTGTTTTCCGAAATGGGAATCTTGTGTTGTCATTGTATACGCATACTTGATATAAATTGTGTTGGTAGTATTCCGGACAAGTACATTATGAAAAGATGGACCAAAAAGGTTGCAGCTGTTAGGAATGCGAACTTTGATTCACTGTTTTATAATGCTGGCATTCCTCCTTCAATTTGGGTTGTTGAGATTAGTAGGAAGTTTCAGAAATTGGTTGTTTCAAGTCAAGACAATAGTGTAGCTAGACAGTTTTGCGATGAAGCTGTTGAGAATGCAAAGAAATTGATTGAAGCAGAGAATGGGAAAATGAATACTGAAGGGTGTGGTGCTTCATCTTCAAATGTTATTGTTCAAGATCCTTCAAGCCGGAGATTGAAAGGTGTGCGTAATAAAAGGAGGAGTAGTATTATTGCAAAGAAGTACACTATAGCAAGGGGAAGAAGGAGTGCTGCAAATAAGGTTGCTTCAAATATAAAGGGTGCCGTTCAATCACTGGTTTTGGAAAATATATCTGAGATTGCTGGTGATGGATATCTTGTACATCCAACTTCTAGTAGTTCACAGTTTGTTCGGTTTAATAAGAGTTTAGGTGAGAACGTAGTTGCAGAATGAGATTGTGACATGTCAGTTTGTTAGATTTGAATCTTATATTCACAACTTTTATATATACATTTACAAGTTATGCAGTATATATTCTTACTACTTGTTCCTTACTTTTTTAAAGAGGTTTAAACATCTATGTTGACAGGGTACATTCATAATTATATTAGTGTACATTCATAACCCCAGAACTGTACATTCATAACCCCAGAACTGTACATTCATAACTCATTAACTGTACATCCATAATGTGATAAGTGTACATTCATAATACTTGTTCTTTATTTTTTCATGTTTACATTTAGATTTTTTTTTTGTATATATTATTAATATTTAATTATTATGTGTAGTAAGAGGTTCAAACATCAAAGTTGAAAATAATAAGTTTTACCACTATATATTTATAATTATAAGGTCATAATGTCAATGCCATGTGTTTAAAATTCCAAAGCTGTGTATTCTTAACCACATGATTGTACATCCATAATGCCATATATGTACATTCATAATCCGAAGACTGTACGTTCATAATCTCATAATTGTGCATCTATAATGGCATATCTGTATAAACATAATCTTATAATTGTACATTCATAATATCATAACTGTACATTCATAACCACAAAACTGTTCATCCATAATGTCATAACTGTACATTCATAACCAGAATACTGTATGTTCATAAACTCAGAAGACATCAAATATGTTATACATGTTCAGAAATTAATAACAGAACCATATGTTTCAAACATAAAGTCATATAATAGAACCATTGTCACAAGTGCAAAAATATACATGTTTGAAATATAAAGTCGTAATAATAGAACCGTTGTCAAAAGTGCAAAAACATACATCCCCACAATCCAACTACACAATTTGTAGTATCAAAAATCAGTATCCACAATTGGTCAGCAATCATTTACAAAATGTCAGTATTTCACATTCATTTCAGGTCAGACAGAGCCCTTGCTGCTTTCATAATTCTGTGCATTTCTGTGTTCTCTTCCCACGTTATGATTGTAGCTGCATACTTTGCTCGCAATCCAGAGATGAAATCAGCCTACAAATGAAGATCATTAAATAATAAGTTTCATGCAATGGGAAAAAAATAAAATAAAATAAAAATAATAGCTGAAAGTAATATGTTTTCCTCTTACATTTACACTTAATTTTCTTTTGAATCCTGGGTTCCAATTTTTTAGAGTTCCTTTATATGTTTCCATATGTCTCATGACATATATTCCACAGTCAATGGAATTTTCAGTCTCTTTCCAGGTCATAGGAAGCACCTCCACAGGAATATCTTCTATTTTCCAGTACAATGATGAACTGTGTGCTGTCAAGTATTCCTGGAATGCAGTTAGCTACACAAAAAATATGTCAGTGTTCATTATGCCTCATACTTCATATATTTCAAATGACAAAAAGTTAAAGTTTGTGGACAAGTTACCAATAATTGAGGGCAATCTTCATACTTAAGCTCTTCTGTAACATCAGGTGTTAGGGCCTTGTTGTCTATCACTTCAACCTTAGATGAAATTGTGTTGATGCAAATAACAAAGTAGTGTTCATGTCGATACACAGGGGAAAATATCTGTATTGAAGAAAAAGAAAAAAAAAATTATAGGACAAGAATTATGATTATGCAGTATGGATATTATGAATATATAGTATAGCAATTATGAATATACAGTGTTTGGTTTATGGACTTTGAGTGTGGGTAATAGAGCTTACCAATTGTGCATCACTGATATCAAGATTTCCAAAACTACTCAGCTCATAGCTTAACCTCTCATTGAAATTTTGCTTCTTTCTATTGAGTGGGAGACTCTTCATCCAATCATCTGTTGGGTCAAGTTGCAGCTATTGAAAAAACATTTACGAAGAGGATGAGAAATCTGCATAGTGTAAATTGAAATTCAAATAACAGTTGCTTGCATGTCAAAAGATACTCACATATACCATTGTGCTGAAGAACACACGTTTTGGCTGTCCCGGTGCTCGTTTGATGTTGAGTAATGTATGCCTATAAGACCACACATCTATCAAACTGTTTGATATTTTTCCTTCACTCATTGTTAGGAACTGTTCTCTTGTCAAATAGAAATCCTTATAGCTGAACAGTAACTCACTATAACACCCAAAAAAAACAAAAAAAGAAAAAAAAAATCAGTTAATACATGTGAAATACTTAAGTAATTAAATAGTTTACTAAATATTTAGATTTCAAACATACTCGTTTGGATGATCATCAGAAACTTCCATGAATGCATAATTTGAAGCGATCCTTTCCTTAACAGTGGCATTGTGAACATACTGTGCATTCTTTGTCCAATAAGGAGATCGTAGATTCAACGGGATATTCTTGAATGTCCTTTTTGGCCTTTTTCGGATGGTGACATCCTCAATATCAGTCTCACTCTCATTCAATGCACTGCATTTATACAAAAAATGCAAGTAGGAAGTTATAATAATGCAATAGAACATTTACAGATTTTATAAGTATATGTTAACAATTTACCTAGTGTAGATTCATAATTGATAAAATGTATATTAATATTTATTACATTGTAGCTTCATAAGTCATAAGGTATATAATAATATCCAATAAAATGTAGAGTTATGATTACCTAATTATAGAATCATAATTACCAAAACTGTAGGTTCATAAATACTTAACTGTAGAATCATAACCACACAACTGTAGATTCATAACCACACAACTGTAGATTCATAACTAATATAATGCATATCAGTTACATGCAATAGGTATCAGATTAGTGGCATTCAAAATATATGAAACATAAGCATATATTTACCTATCAACTTCATCAAGCTCATCAGTTGTGGCAGCAGCAGCAGCAGGGGTGGCAGGGGAATCCAATGTGAATGGAACCCTAATTAAAGGAGCTTTCCCCCTGTCGCCGGAGGTTGAAACAGCATCAGTTGATTTTTCTTTCAAGTTGTTGGAGGTTGTCAAACCAGCTCCACACGCAATGCTGTCAACAAGGACATCCAATTGTATCTCCTCCGTTGTGCTGTGCTCTGCTGGTCTTTTACGTAATGGGGCTGGGGTTAGGGAAATTCCTAGATCAAAAGAAGGAGGTTCTATTTCCATTTGCTTGGTTGTTTTCTGAAAAGCCTCTACCAAAGCATCCACTGCAGCTGTAAAACTTTCTTGACCAAAGAAAATGTCATCTAGCTGCGATGCTGTTGGGGTTGGAGCTGCTTGCATTGTGCCAGCCACAGAAATCATATTTGAAATTCCAGAAAAAGTTTTCTTTATCACCTCTGCAGGTGCTCCCTCCCTCCCAACCTCAGTCATTGCTTCTCCAAACTCAATGACATCGGCAGCTAGCCGTTGCAGTACTTGCGTCACCCTATCAATACTGGACGATGGCACTGAAATTGTTGGAACCACTTGTGCAGAAGAAGAAGGTAAAGCAGAAACATTGCGAACTGTAGTAGGTCTCTTCATGCGTGGGATAACCTTTCCCTTTCCAAATCCACCAGAATTCTTCTCTGCATCAACTCTTTTTCTTAGAAGTTTAGTTGTCCACGAAAGAATGGTAGGGTGTGTTCTAATGACTCTCATCCCTTTGAACTGGACTCTATCAACATAGAATAGCTGCAAAATCCCCCATAAAATGTATGAACTGTATGTTCATAATGATAAAGTATGATAATGTATAACACAAGGCAAATAAAAAATTATATTGATGAGCATATAATCCTTAAGTAGAGGGGGGATGGGGAGTGCCGAATAAATCCAGCCATGCTCTACAAAAAGATCAATATGTCCATCAAATTAGAAAATTTAGCCATGATATGCAAATGATATAAGTGTACATTCATAAGCATATATTTCTATATTCACAACACCCAAAATACAGAGTACCATATGCATAATCTGTGAATTGTACATTCATAATGATATAACTGTACATTCATAAGCATATATTTGTATATTCACAACATGCAAACTACAGAGTAACACATTCATAATGCTTGAACTGTATGTTCATAATGATATAAGTGTACATTCATAAGCATATACTTATATGTTTACAACATCTAAATTACAGAGTACCATATTCATAATCCTTCAATTGTATGTTCATAATGATATAAATGCACATACATAAGCATATAGTTATATTTTGACAAGATCAAGGACTTACAAGGAGGAATGTGACTGCACCAGTGAACAGTCTACCAGATTTTTTCCGGTACTTGTCGATTGATTTGATAAGGAACTTGTACGTATAGCTGCACCAGTTGTAGTTCTTGATCTCGCCAACATTGATCAAAGAGTTCAGGATTCTGTAATTGCAGTACCTTGTTTGGAATCCACGAAGCATTGAAGAAACAAGCAAGACCATGAAATCCCTTTTAAACTCATCTCCATAATCTCCCCTCTGAATAATTGCGTCTCCCATCCTCGTTGTGATTGGTGACCCTTTTTGAATTCCCCATCTTTGTCTCCAAGTACGCAATAGTGCTACGTACTCAGCATTCCCATTTTCTTCATATTTTGGAGCTTCCTCCACCTCATTTACGCCTCGGGGAATGCCTAGAGTGCATTCAATATCCCTCTCAGCAAGATGTAGCGTTTCACCTTCGAATATGAGGTCACACTTGAAAACATCAAATGCATGGACAAGATATTGCACCAACTGAGACTCACAGGTGTTCAGTTGAAGACGTAAAATTGATTCAAATCCAATATCAGTCACAGCCTGTTTTTGCTGTTCTGATAGTCTTTTCACAAGCTGATGCATAACTCTTGGACCCATTCTAGTGCTGAAGTATGCAACATCAGACTTATGTTCAGGATCTTTTGTTTTTGTGGCTTGTCTTTTCCTCTTTTTTGTATTGCCTTGACTTTCTGACTGCGGCTGTGATGGACCTGCATTCTGTGAGTTCAATATTGCCTTTGTTGTCTTTTTTCTTTTGATTTCTCTTTCGGGTGGTTGCTGTGATGTATCAGCAGCAGCTGCAGCCTTACCTCGTGTCATTTTCCTTCGAATTTCCTCTAGTGCCTGACTTAACGTAGGCTCAGATTCCATTGCTACCATTGAAAACATTAGGAATGCATAATAAAGTATAACACAAGACAATTAAAAAACAACATTGATGAGCATATAATCCTTAAGTAGAGGGGGAATGGGGAGTGCCGAATAAATCCAGCCATGCTCTACAAAAAGAATAATATGTCCATCAAATTAGAGAATCCAGCCATGATATGCAAATTACAGAGTACCATATTCATAATTCATGGACTGTATGTTCATAATGATATAACTGTATATTCATAAGCATATTTTTTGATATTCACAGCATGCAAACTACAGAGTACCACATGCATAATCTTTGATCTGTATGTTCATAATGATATATGTGTACATTCATAAGCATATAGATCTATATTCATAATGTACAAACTACAAAGTTATATATGCATGATCTCTGAACTATACATTCATAAGTACATAACCATATACACGCAGTATGCAGATTACAGAGTAACACATTGAAAACCCTTGAACTATATATGTTTATAATGCTATAACTGTACATTCATAAACGTTATAAATGTACATTCATAAGCATATAACTCTGTAATATTTGAAGTTTATGAACATTCATAACACTTTGAAAACTATAATCGCAATATTTGAAGTTTATATACTAATATATACACAATAATCCAGAATATGCAGAATGAACAGTGTTAAAGCACAAACCCTATGTCAAAAACACAAAATGTATACAAAATATGTTCGTTGAGTATGTAGAGTATGTAGAGTATGTAGAGTATGTAGAGTCAAAAACACAAAATGTTTAATGCTGTAAAAAAATCGCTTTTAAGAGGTAAGGTTAGACACAGAATACCTGTTCCAGAGTAAACGATGGAGAGCTGTGATGCGATCGACGTTGATGGAGTCTATTTTGAGAAAAAACCAGAGAAAAACGACGAGAATGAAGGTTTTGCAAGGAAGGAGATGGAAACTTGATAGAGAGGAAACCGCGAAATGCAGTATAACTGTGACGAATCGGGTTCAATTTAAAAAAAAAAAAAAAAAAAAAAAAAAAAAAAAAAAAAAAAAAACGATTGGCTGGTGATAACGGTGCCACTCACGGCTCCGTTAGTGCGCTAGTATGAAACGATGTCGTTTCAATCCGTGTCCACAGTGCGATGTGGACACGGGTGCATAGCATAACGATTGAATATATGTACATATGATTGGATGTAAAACCACTATAATTTACACTCAGAATAAAAATAATGTACATCTCCTAGATATAATTTACATTATTTTTATACTAAATTTACATTATTTTTGTATTGAATATACTTTATTTTACAGTAGACAAAATATGATCCACACAACTTGTGTGAATCATGGTCCACACAATAATGATTGGGATTGGATTAGTTAGCTACAATTTCCCATGAATATATATATGCTCACTCAATACATGGCAATTGTTTAAAGGAAAAGAATACTTATATTCTCGTAATTAATCGGCAAACTATTGTGTGGACCACAGTTCAAAAAAATATTGTTAAATTTTGTGTTAAAATAAATTAGAATAATGTACTTTATATGTTAGAATAATTTACATTATGAGTTAGAATAATTTACTTTATGTGTTACCATGATGACCTTGTTTCTCACGACTAATAAACGGATTTGTTATTAGAAGATTAAATTGTATAAAATTATCAAAATCGAGAACTTAATTAAGGATTAAAAATTATTTAAGACTAAATTGAATAAAATCACTATAGTTTAGGACTATATTGAATATTAACTCTAATAAAGTGAGAATATGTTGTATATTAATAGAATAATAGGATATGTGTAATATAAATTATACAATCCCTGGCCAATTGAATAGACCTAATTCGATTCTAGGATCTTAATTGGTTGATTTACGGCAAGTTATTATTGTAACGTTTTCTTATTATTATTATTATTATTATTATTATTATTATTATTATTATTATTATTATTATTATTATTTTGGAGTACTATTGACATATTTATCTTACGTTCAATTATCACCTGTTGAATATAATGAATGAGATAAGCTCGTTCATCCATGCATGCATGCACGTACGTTCTATCAAGCAGCTGCACTATATATATATGCTGTCACTGAAACTTAAATTAAATATATAGGCTGAAGATTGTTGGAGTCGCCATAGCCATTAATGGCTAAAGCTTGCAGTTAATTAGAAAAAAAACCGTAAATTATTGAAAACTGGCTAATCAAACATCCCACAAGGCAGAATTCCCATGCAGCATGTGATGTTGATGATGAAAAGCTGGGTGGCTCATTGCTTGCATCCTCTGTTGATTCATGGCTTCCATTTCTAATCTTTGCTGGTTATTGCTTTGCTGCTGCTGATGCATACTCGTTCCGGCCGCCGCCGCCGGCGGCCTTGGCCCTCCGACCCCCAAGAAATCCACCGTCATCATATCGTTTCCACTTCTCACGGCGATTCCGGTGTTGTTCCTACTCATCGCCGGCGGCGGCATGAAACTAGCCCCATCGTTCATGCCGCCATCATGATTATCGTCTTCGCCGCCGATGGTGTTCTTCATGATCAGTCCCGCGGATGGGTTTTGTTCATTGCTTGTGTTAGTAGTGTTCATCAGCATTCCGGTGTAAATCGCGATGTCATTCATGGTGGCGGAGAATCCGCCTTCGGCCGCCGGCGTCGGGAAGTTTTCGAACGCCGCCGTGGGGCTAATGCTACTCTGCTGCTCAAGCGCACCGTAAGGCGGCGGTTGTGTTGACGTTCTGTGGTCCGTTCCCGCCATGCTACTGGCGAAGCTCTTCTGCATCATGGGAGAGTTAATGCTGTTGCTGGCGGTGGCGCCCATCTGCGCCGCCTTCTGCAGCAGCGCCGTGGCCGACATGGGAACCGCCGAAGACCCGTTGAAACCGGGCGAAGGGGTGTTTGAGCTGAGCTGGAGTCCGGAGGATGACGAGGCAATGCTCCTCGGACTTCCGAAGAGGTTGCCGGAGCTTGTGGCGAACATGCCTCCGCCGGCGCCGGCCATGTTAATGGACTTGAAGGGTATGGGTACGAGGTCTTGGGGGAGAGATTTGAGAGGGTTTTTGGGGTCGAAATTGTTGAATTCGGATAATCCCATGACAGTGTTGGCAGACATGAGCTCCGGAATTTGGGTTTGTAGGTCGTTTGGATCCATCAGCCCGCCGGCTTGGTTCACTTTGTTGTTCTCCTCCGCCAGTGCGTCACAGAAAGCTCTATGCGTTATAAAGCTATCTCTCCTGCACATATGCACAACAATGGAGCCAATCAAGAACTGTCAAAAACTCACAATACTTATATATGTGTATGTATTATTTTGGATAACTAGAGAAATCACAATCACTAATCCAGACTATGCAAAAAGGTCATAATAGATTTAGCAATGCAGCTTTTGCAAAACGCCATGCTGCAAAATTGGCAGTTTAATTTAGAGCAAACCACTACTCCAAACCGCCATTTTATCAAATGTAAAGGTTAAAACGCCAAAATGACGGATTGGTCATTTACCAAACATGACTGATTGAATCAATATAATCCAAAAAGGGTGTGCAAGAAGGTCATAGTTTACTCGTTTCTTGCAACCAGCCTAAGTTATCCATAGTGGACCGACTCAAACCAGTTAAGAAGGTCAAAAGACAAATGTTGCTATGAGTGGAACTTATAATCTTGTGGTTACTAAGTCAAGTGTCTACCAACTTAGGTGGATATAAAGAGAGATGGAGCAAATGTTAGAACCTGGAGAAGATGGTTCCGCAGTCACATTTGTATTCTCTGGTGCCGCAAGTCTTTTGGTGAGCTTTCCAGTCAGACTGGACTGCATACTTCTTAGAGCATTTGTCGCACTTCCATTTCTTCTCTCCATGTTTGCGGCTGTAGTGTTTCTTGATCCCAGTGAGATCGCCCAGCGCGCGGGCAGGGTTGTGGTGGACGCACGTCGGCTCCGGGCAAATGTACACGCGCTTCCTCACCTCCGCCGTCGTCCTCTGCCGGAGCTTCCATGGAAGATTGTGACCTCTCCGATGTAGCTGCAGATTCTGATCCCTCTGGAATCCCTTGTTGCAAATCTCGCACACGAATCTGTTCGTTGCCATTAGCGTCGTCGGCGATAGGGCAACCACTTCTGCATTCGGATCTGCATGCACATGAAAATTAACTAAAACAATTAATTTTGATTTATGAAAAAATCCACCCTAGTAGACAAACCATCACAAGTAGATAAATAATGAGAAAGTATATGAACAGATACTACAATGTAATAGAGTCAGTAACATTAAAAAAAAAAAAATGATAAGTGAACAAAATGTAATACTTTCAAATTATAATGTAAAAGTATTATATTTTTCTTCAAAATATTATACTTTCTTTATAAGTAACAACCACTTAATTCATGATTAGTGTTAGATTATATTTCCCCTTATGAGTATTACATTTTATTTTAATTTGACCCGACTCGTTTCACAAACAAGGATCTGTGTGACATGTCTTGCACAATTTTTTTTTAAAACCAATTTACTAATAATTTATCAACTCAAACTCGAAGCCAATTATAGAAAGTCCATCTACCCTAACATGGGCTACTATTCATTAAAAGAAAATAGTATAATTCTTGTAAATAGTAATAATAAAATTATTGTTTAATTAAAAAAAATATTGTCACACTTTTTATTTATAATAATGAGCATTCCTATTTTTTTTAAGCATTCCTATAATTCATTAATATAAAACTAAAGAATTTATATTCTTTTAACGGGTAATAAGTAATAACAATCTAGGAGTTTGGATTGTTAGCCTTTAATTATAAAAATAGTGTGAATTAAATATTGATATTTTAATCCAATTTACAAAATAAATGAATATTTAGATAATGAAATTTAATTTCGTTTTCCATTTCATTTTCATTCCTTCTCAACCGTGGGTCCATTCCGGTGAGAGTGCATGTACCACATCAGAACGAGAAAAGTAAACCGGGGCATAGTTCCAATTTAGCTAACAATAATT